ACTGAATCAAAGGCCTAGAGACCCAGGTGAGCACCAAGAGAGCAGGCACTTTTAACCTAGGGGCCATGAACTGAGGTGGTGGTGCTTTTTTATTGTGATAGCTATTTCAATAGAACTGGTTTCCTCTGAAATCCTTAAGATTTTATTTTATGCATTTAAAAAAGAGGACACCATGGGCTTCACCAGACTGGCCCAAGGGGGCCAGGACACAGAAAAGTTCAAGGGAAAGGGCCTGACAATGTCTGAATGCCCACAGCATCCTAGGTCATGTACAGAACATATGTGATAGTCCCAGCTTGGCAGGAACTTACATAGGATCATAGATTATGGACTTGAAGCTGGAGAGACCTTTGGGGTTATCTCATCTAGCTCCATCATTTTACAAAGGGAGGAACTGAACTGAGGCCCAAGGAAATGACTTGCCCAAGATCATACAAGTAATTAAGTGTCCAGCCAGAAATCGAAGCCGGGTCCTGACTCCTGATCCATGGCTCTGAACCTCAATGACCTAAAAGAGTTCCAAAAACAGCACTCCATACTAGAGTACAAGCTAGGTAACAACAGAACAACGCTACAGGCTAATCTAATTGACAAAGGCCAGCCCTGGTGGAGGGTATGGAGGTCCAGCCTTGAAGTCATGCAGACCTGGGTTCAAGTTCAGCCTCAGACACATACTGGCTGTGTGATTCTGGGCAAGTCTAAGAATGTCTCCTTGCCCCCTGAAGAGATTTGAGTTGCAGATAAGGGAGACAGAGACAGAGACAGAGAAGATTATAAGTCTAGCCTAGACAAACCAAAAAAGAAAATAATTACAAAATCAAGCCAGAGAATAGGGCCCTTCCTTACCCTGCCCTCAATGGTACACACTGTTATTAAATAGGGCATAGGGATGTACCTGTGTCTTAGAAGGGGGTGAGGAAACCTCCCGAGTCACCAGTCACCCCTTCTTGGCAATTTAATAGCCCCCTGGAGTCCGGAGAGGTCAAGTGACTTGGGCTCAGGGTACTGAAGCCAGTATGTGTCTGAGGTGACATTTGAACTTGGGCCTTCCGGGCTCCAACGCTGACACACGACTCGGCTTCTCACGGATTAATCGCTCACCTCATTCAAGCTTTAAGGTCTGCAAAGCTCCCTAATCTTACTTTGTACTTTGCAGGAGGTGAAACAGGTCTACAACGACCAGCTTACAAATCATCGGCCCATTTCACAGGTAAGCCCAGGCACTCGGCTCCGCCTTGCCTACTAGAGCTACTTCCACCGAGCCCAGGCCCCCGAATGCTTTGTTAATGAGTCACTGCAGTGAATTACATTTTGTAACTCTAAGACGCAGCAGAAAAAGTTTAACTCCGGCAATCGCTACAGTTTCCTGCTCATTAAGCCGATCCAGTCCTAATCGCAAAAGGAAGACTTTAAAAAGACAGCTTCCCCCCTCCCTGAGGGACTGTTACACCTCCCCCTTCTCCGCCCAACACCCCCTCCCCCCGTTTGTTGCCCAAGCACCGACCTAAGAGAGGGGACAAACTTTCCATGGCTGCCTAGTAAACAGACGCAAACTTGGCTAGGACTGCAGGACCGTCCCAGAGATGCCGGTGAGGGAGTGGGGGCAGTGGGCGCCGCTTGCTTACCCGTTGTAGTGTGCCTTAATGCGAACGATCTCCTGGCCCACGTTCGTCTTGGACCCCATCCTGCTCGGCATGGCATTAATCCCAACCAGCGGAGTCTGCGTCCTGAGCGCGCGCAGAGCGGCGGGTCTGACTCCCGAGCCGTAGCCGGCAGAGGCTCCAGGGCTCAGGGCTTCGGATCGGGGCTCGGAACCCGGCTGGATGCCCACGGCGCTCTCTCCATTTCACCGCCTGGCCCACTCGACGAAGCAGAAACACCAGGGCCGACGCACTGCCCCGAGAGGGCAACCCCCGGGAGCGGGCGCTGTCTGTGTGAGGATTCCGAGCGCCCGGAGCTACCTGGGGGAAGGGGGGAGGGTAAGGAGGGCGGGGAGGAGCCCCCCCCGGGAAGTTTTCCCGACTCCCTTCCCAAATATCCAAGCCAGGAAATTTCTGCCTCTGGGACAGAACCCCAGCGAGCCTAGGACGGCCGGGATCGCCAGTGAGTAAATCTCCCCCAGGTCACATTTCTAACCCACGAGCTAAGAAGGAAGCAGAATCCTACCTGCAGGCTGGTCTCCCGGAGGAGGAGGAGCAGGAACAGGAGGAGGGAGGGGCAGGAGCAGAAGGGGCCGGAGCAGGAGGAGGGAGGGGCAGGTCGGGGACGAACTTACTGGCTTCCTTTGGCGAGGGCCCCCACCCTCTCTCCCCCTAGGAGTGGGGAAGAAGGGGGCTGGGCAGGGATTAGACGCCCCGCGGGGGGGGAGGGGTGGACTGGATAGCGACAAACTCATGCTGACCCTGAAGTTCAATGACCCAAAGAGGAAAGACTCTCCTCTCAGAAGTTATCACTGAAAAGCTACAAGTGACCTAGCAACCTGACAAATGGGGAGCAGAGGAAGTGCAAGAAAGGGAGAATGGGACTGGGGGATTCCTGAAAGAGAGGGATGTGGATGGGGGGGGGGTTCCAGTGATAAAAGCAGCTGGGGGACAAGGGGGATGACCTCCAGAATAAAAGGGCGTTGGGAGAAGAGTGGATTAAAGATCAGGAATCCCTGCGGGTCAAAATTGAGTGTTGGGGTGCAGAAAGAAGCAACCCAGGGGTGCTTTAGGAGAACTGGAAATGGGGGGAGTGATCCCTGAATAACAGAGGGAGATTTGCCTGATAATAAGGGTCATGGATTTGGATTTAAAGCCCTCAAAAGCCATCATTTTACAAAAGAGGAAACTGAGGCCCAGGGCTGGGGGGGGCTGGGATCTTGGGGTGGAGGAGTCCCAGGAAACTGGGAGGAAGGGGTAGGCATGTGGGGAAAGACAAAATCGGGGGAGGTATTTGGAACCCATTAGCCGGGAAGAAGACCTCGGGCAAGGGATGTCCTAGGGGAGTACGTAGCTGTGGGAAAGGGGCAGACGTGTGGGGGAGGACAAAGCGGGATGGGGATTTGCAATCCATTAGGTAAAAGGGAAACCCCCCTGGAGGATGAAGCTATAAGGCTGGCCACGGGGTGGGGGCATCTGGAGTGAGTGCGGGATTGGAGGGAGGAAGCAGCTAGGCTAAGGGGCTTTGGAGAGATCCTGGGGGGTGGCTTAGCAGGGAGTGGAGGACACACATCCACTGAGGCTGTAGCCCCTTCTCCCTGGCCCCTCTCACCCTCTGCGGACGCAGCAGAAGAGAGAACACAGGCATTACCCCCGGCCCTGCCCGAGTACTCTGCTCTCCTTCTCCCAACTTTACTCCCCGGAAGATACTCCAGCCTGAAAAAACTTGGCCTGGGGCTAGTCCGCGCGCGCGACCGCCACCACAGGGTGGTAAGGGGCGCGCGCGCTTGGCCCACACCAAGCAGGAGGGACTAAAGTTCGCTCAGAGGGGCTTGAACCCCACCCCACCCCCTGCAGAACGGTCCGATCATGCCGGATTGGCCGGGTTCCGGCCGGCCGGCCAATAGACGCGCGGCGTGAGCGGTAGGAGGAGCGACAGCCAAGTACCTGGCGACCAATAAGGGGGCCCATCCGGACGGCCACCTGGAGCCAATCCTCAAGAGGATGCCACAGGCTCGGAGCCAATCGGAGAGCCGGACGGGCTACCTGCGTTCGGCTAGTCCTCTGCCTCCTCCCGGCGCAAAAGTTGAACACCTGCAGCCAATGGGACAGAGGGAGCCCAGAAGGCTGGAGTCTACCTAGCAACCGAAGGATAAAAGGGGCGTGAGAGGAGTCCGCTTGGGTGGGAAAGGGAGGGCCAGGGGCGGGAGCGGAGGGTCCTAAATTCTCTCGGTCCCCTGGGTGTGTGGTGTAAAGTGTTTTCATTAGTAATAGAGCTATAATCTTTCACAACTCCTAATCCTGTGAGCTTTCCCTTGCCCTACGTTGTTTTAGTACAATCCCAGGCACCTAATAGTCACTTAATAAATCTATTCATCTATCTCAGTTTTTTGTTGTGAGTTTTTTGGGAGGAAAGCAGCTAGGTAGTCCAGTGGATAAATCCAGGGCTCCAGAGTCAGGAGGACCTGTGTTCAAATCCAATCTCAGGCACTGACTAGCTGTATGACCCTGGGCAAGTCACTTAACACCAATTCCCTCTAAAAATGATAATAATAGTCCTTACCCTCAGGAAGCTTCCAGTCTCACACACCTGTGCCTCAGTAGATAAATGTAAAGAAGTTGTCTAGGGAATTCAAAGGTTATCAAACAGCTAGTTGGTATCAGAGGCAGGATTTGAGCCCACATCTTCTTGACTACAAGACCAACTCTGTTTCAGTTGTGTCCAACGTTTTGTGATCCCATATGGGGTTTTCCTGGCAAAGGTCTTTCTCCAGTGAATTAAGGCAAACAGAGGTTAGGTGACTTGCCCAGGGTCAGACATCTCCGTTCTCCCCCATCAGATCGTGGACTGTTAAACATTTACCAGCACACCCCTTCTTTCTCCCCCCTATTCGTATGTTCAGTAGGCAAGGTCTCTCCCAGTTCTGACATTCGGTGTTCTAAAGTCTTACTGGCTCTAACATTGTCTGGTCTAAAGTTCTTCCTGCTGTAACTAACATTATCTCTCTCTCTCTCTCTCTCTCTTTTTTTTTTTTTTTTTTTTTTTTTTGCTTTTTGGTGAGGCAATTGGCAGTGACTTGCCCAGGGTCACACAGTTAGTGTCAAGTGTCTGAGGTCATATTTGAACTCTGGTCCTCCTGACTCCAAGGTCAGAGCTCTATTCACTGCACCATCTAGCTGCCCCACATTCTCTCTTTTAAGTTTTCCCCCAGCTCTGACATTCATACAAAGCATAGAGCCCAACTTGACCAACTTGACTTCCCTCCCCTGAAATAAGAAAAGCAATATCCATTGCCTAGTTATTAATTAACCCACTACTAGAGGTAATCTAGGCAAGAACAACAAAAATGGAGAGACCATAACAGAGCCTCAATGAGAAGAGCAACTCCCAAGAGAGAGGGCCCTGGTTCCAGCCAGAACCACAGGCAGGCTTCTCTTCCTGGTGTTCACAACCTAACACAAAAACAAAGCCTGCTGGGCTCAGATGGGCTGGTGGGGCCAGATTTAATGGAAATGTCATTTCAACTTCCTTTGGAAATTATGTCATTTTAAAAGACTGTTTTATTCTGAATGTGTGTGTGTGTGTGTGTGTGTGTGCGCGTGCGTGTGTGTGTGTGTGTGTGTGTGTGTGTGTGTGTGTTTTAAACCTTTATAACATCAAAACACAGCAGACCGGACAACTGACCTCAGCTTCAAAATAAGGCCACTGGAACTGGAAGCTAAAAGCAGGGAGAGGAAAAGTCAAGAGGAAAAAGAAAGCAAAGGGAATTTTTTAAAAGCTGCAAACCTACAACAAATTAAAAAAAAAAATCCCAAGTGCACACAAAAAATAGAAACTCTGAAAATCAAAGAAGAGATCAATAAAATCAAAATAAAAACTTCATAAAATTGATAAATAAAACCAGGGGCTAGTTTTGGGAGAAAAAAAACTAGAAAACAGACAAACTATTGATCTTATCCTTAAAAACTGAGAGAAAAGTGAAATTGACAATATCAAAAAGGAAAAAGAATCATTTTTGACAAATGAAGTAGAAATAAATAATAAGCATTTATTAAGTGCCTACTACATGCCAGGCACTGTGCTAAGCACTGGGGATCCAAAGAAAGGCAAAAGACTGTCCCTGTCCTCAAGGAGTTCCCAGTCTAATGTGGGAAACAACATACAAACGATGATGTACAAACTAGAGACAGGAATTGGAAGTAATCAATAGAGGGAAGGCAATCATGTTAAGGGTGAATGGGAAAGGCTTATCGTAGAGGATGTGGTTTTAGCTGAGATCTGGAGGAAGCCAGGGAAGTCAGAAGGTAGAGGAGAGGAGTGAGAGTATTCCAGGTATGGGAGACAGACTGTTAAAATGCTTTGGAGTGAAGCATGGAATGTCTTATGTGAGGAACAGCAAGGAAGCCAGTGTCACTGGGTCACAGGGTATATGGGGGTGGGGTGGGGTATAAGGTAAAAAAAGACTGGAAAGAGGAAAAGCAGGTTATGAAGGACTTTGAATGCCAAATAGAAGATTTTACATTTCATCTTGAAAGGGATAGAGAATTACTAGAGTTGATTGAATATGAAGATGACATATCAGATCTGTGCCTTGAGAAAATTAATTTGATGACTGGAATATAATTTGAAGAGTGGAAGACAGACTGGAATGGGAAAGAGACTTGAGTTAAGGAGACTAATCCATAGGCTATTGTGAGAGTCCAGGCTTGAGGGTAAAAGAAGTTGTGTGAAACTATTTTACCCAGTGATATGCCAACAAAAGAGATAAATAAATTAGTATTTATGAGTACATAAAATACCCAGATTAACAGAGAAAGAAAAAACTGGGGGTGGGAGGAATTCTGTCCTCCTATGATATAAATATGGCCTTGACACCTGAACCAAGAAGAGAGAATGCAGAAAAAGAAAATTATAGATCAAAATTGCTAATGGTTATTAACACACATTGAAAAAGTATTAGTAAAGAGGCTATGAAACACATTAAAAAGATTATACATTGTGATCAGACTGACTTATACCAGGAATGCAGAGTTGGTTCAATATTAGGAAAATTATAACATAATAGACCATATTAATAAAAAAACTTTTAAAATCACTTGATTATATTAACAGATCTAGAAAAAGCTTTTGAGAAAACAACAATTTCTGTTTTTTAAAAATAGGGGAAATGGGCTTTTCCTTATTTATTATAATAAAGAAAGTCCATCTAAAACCAAGAGCCAGAATTATACATAATGGAGAAATACTAAATGGAGAAAATGGAGATTCCTAATAACATGAGAGCTAAAGAAAAGATATCCTTTATCATAACTTTTATTTGATGTAATTATAGAAATGCTAGCTACAGCAATAGAATAAAAGAAAAAGAAATTTAGGGAATAAGCATAGGCAAACAAAACTCAAAATTATTGGTTTTTTGAAGATGATATGATGATCTACTTAGAAAATCCTGGAGATTCAACTAACATTAATTGAAACAAAGTGGCAAGATATAAAATAAATCTATATAAATATCAACTTTTTTTGATATTACCAATAG